CAAATGCTAATCTTCTGGATTCTTCAACCCCTCTAGTTTCGACTTTCTAAACTTATCTCATTGAATCATACTTCTTGAATAATATCTTCTAATTCTAACCTCTCCGATTACTTCTAATGCCTTTACTACCTCTACTACTATTGGATTTGAATCGACAATTATATCTCTGTGCTGATGTGGTGGTATGGCGACATGAACTGATGTACTTACGTACGAAGTTCTACGTTGCAACTGACTGACTGACTGACAGAAAACTCAACTGACTTTTGCTATCTTGAATAGGCTAGATATTATATGTCTAATAACCAATAGACAGACGGGCAGATAGATACAACGCAGAACTTCGTACGTAAGTACATCAGTTCAAGTTGCCATACCACATCAGCACACAGACGTAACTGTCAGTTCAAATCCAACAGTGATAGTGATAGTAGAAGTATTAGCAGTAATGGAGAAGATTAGGAAGCAAAGATATGATTTGAGAAGTATAATTCAATGTGATAAATTTAGAAGGAGAAAGGTAGATATTTTGAGGGATTCAGAAGGTTAGAATTAGAGAGAACACAAAGAATAAATGCACCTGCGCCATTGCAAACGATTTTGAGCAATTTCGTTCAAGGTCTCTAACCATTGGTGACTTTCGTCTCGCGGACCCCAACTAGGTTGTCGACCCCTACCAACATGACTTAGTCCAGTTGTCAGTGACTTCATGGATTTGTGCCATGTTTTGGTTTGTCCACTCCTAACTTTCTTCCAACCTACTCCTACACTGCAAAACATAGCCAGTAGATGAGTTCGTCCGTCCTACTTTTCGAGTATAAAACATGGTCACTAAGAAAATAGAATATTCGTAGGTTAATTCTATCCTATTATAGGTGTCTTCGAAGCAGTGTTCGAATATTATGGGACCACTTAGTAAGTAATGATGGTGTTATAGAAAGATTACTAGTTAAGAATGACAGATCAAATGATGAAGTAGTGAATCTTGATCAGTCGAGGTGGTTGGTACATGTTTACGTATGTCCCTTCACCGATTGCCTCGACAAGCAATGGTTTGTGGTGTAGGAGTAGGTTGGTAGAATGCTAGGAGCGGTCAAACCAAAACATGACAGAAATCCATGAAGTCACTGAGAAGTGGACTGAGACATGTTATTGTGTGAAGACCGACTACCAGATTGGGCTCGGTGAGACAAAAGTAATTGATGGTTAGAGATCTTTATGTTCTCTCAAATTCTAATCTTCTGAATCCCTCATAACTTCTGTCTTTCTCTGTCTAAATTTATCTCACTGATGGTTAGAGACCTTGAGTGACATGGCGCAAAACCGTCTGCACTGGCATAGGTACATTCATTCTTCGGCTTCTATCAAATCCTTATCCTCTGTATTCTTCATCATCTTTATCTTTTTAACTTTATTTTATTGGATTATACTCCTTATATAGTTTCATCGAACTCTAATCTCTCTGACTACGGTTAAAACTTCTACTATCTCTGCCACTATGGGATTTGTATTCACAATGACCTCTCTGTGCTAGGGGGGCGGCTAGATCAAATCATGGGACAAATTGATGAAGTCGCTGACAAGTGGACTAAGCCATGTAATTAGGTGTAGACTGTCTGGTTTGTGTCCACGAGACAATAGTAACCGACAGTTGGAGACTGAATGGGATGGCTTGAAATCGTTTACAATGGCACAGATGTATCCATTGTTTATCTTCACTCAAATTATTATCTTTAGCACTACTGATGAACTTCTTTGTCTTTTTAAATTTATTTCACTCGTTTACATTTTCTTGAATTATATCTTCGATTCCTAATCTTATTGATTACCACTATTACTTCTACTACTACTGGCTTTCAACTAACAAAACTCCATCTCTCTTTGTTCATCTAATATGCAAAACTTTAACTGATGTACATATATACCAAGTTCTATATTGTTGTTGATTAATTCACTGACTGTCTGACCATGATAACTTGTCAGATGAATAATTGAAAATAATGTAACAAATGTGTGTTAAAACAATGCGCCACATAATCCAATGTTCGATTTCATAAACTTTTTTACCAAAAATAAAATATTTCCAATTATTTAATGACACATTATAAAAACTAAATTGACACTTTGTAAATCTCTGATTGTTTGTTTTTCAAACAATGTTGTTGACTAAAAAAAATTGGGTTAAGAGAACCCTAATTTTGTTTGTTTTTTTCAAAATCTAATCAAAATGTATCAATATTTTAGACGTTTTTTTTGTTAATCTCAGCTGTTGTTTGTTCTTCATTCTTATCATTTTTCATACGACCTTGGTCGAACTTCATTGGTCATTAAGAGTATATATATATCAGTCAGTCAGATGCAACGTAGAACTTCGTACGTAAGTACATCAGTTCATGTTGTCATACCACATTAGCACAGAGTGATGTAATTGTCAATTCAAATCCAATAGTAGTAGTAGAGATAGTAAAGGTATTAGAAGTAATCGGAGAGGTTACGATTAGAAGATATTATATTCAAGAAGTATGATTCAGTGAGATAAGTTTAGAAAGTCAAAACTAAAGGTGTTGAAGAATCCAGAAGATTAGGATTTGAGAGAACACAAAGAATAAATGCACTGGCGCTATTGCGAACGATTTTGAGCCATGTAATTTAGGCTCTCTAATCATCGATTATTATGATCTCGCGGACCCCAACCAGGTAATCGACAACTACCGACATGACTCAGTCCACTTGTCAATGACTTCATGTTTTGGTTTGGCCGCCCTCTGATTTCTTCCAACCTATTCCTACACTACAAAACATAGCTCGTTGAGGCAGTCGATGGTTAGGCATACACGCAACACATGTCCCAACCACCTTAACTGATGAAGTTTCATTACTTCATCTATTGATCTGCCATTCTTACCTAGCACTCGTTTCCTGATAACAGCGTTGCTCACTCGGGTGTCCCAGGATATACGAGCAATACTACGAAGATACCTATGATCGAAAACCAATGACCGACGAATATCTTCTACTCTCATTGGCCATGTTTCACAGCCATAAAGTAAGACGGAGCGATCTACTGCACAGTATATGTTTATATATATATATATATCATGTTTAAGTCAAGTTCACATGAATACTTCATCTGTTTTTTCAAAGAAAAGGATACATTTTAAAAGAATTTATCGATCAGTCGAATCTAATCAACATTAATAATTACATAATTTTTTTCAGTTTATAGGCATGAGCTGCATGATATATATATATATATATATATATATATATATATATATATATATATATATATATATATAGAAATGCTTGACTGCACAAAGAATAGACATACTATCATGTTACATTGTTCATAATGCTGTAATTCAAAAAATTGTTTTTTTTTGCCTGTACAGTTTTTCCACACATATTATTTATTATAGAGTAATACAAGTTAGGTCTTAGTTAGGACCAATTGAGTAGTTGGATATCTTGTTACAGTATATGAACAGTGATGTGTTTCTAGTGCCATAATGCATTGGTTACCATTAGATACAACTAGATAAAATGAAACAGAAACACAAAGAGCTCAGAATAGTAAAAGTATTCATTAGACATACATTTCACATTTATTATATAAAGTTAACTTCATTGGGCGAGGACAGTTTTACATTGGTTCTCAGGAGAACCAAGCAGACTGCTCACATGTTTGCACTACAACGTGAACAGGACAGCTCAGTGCTGTGGTGCGACCGTCACCACCCTGGTGGATCATTTACTCCATTTCTATACACTAACACACATTGATTATTTCCGATCCATGATTGCGTCGTCAATCAATAAACACAGCATGAACAGGCCTATTTCAACCATCCCACTTACACATGTCTGTTAAACTCAATATTATTAACAATGTTGATGATATCCATGCAATACAGCACTCAGAATGACAAGGACCCTCTGGAATGTTACAAAACAATCACCACGAGTATAATGTGAAATTGGTCACCTTACTAACTTCACTTTGTATATGGACTATTAGCGAAGTTTGCCCAGAGTAATGCCAAGCTATTCACGTGATACATTTTGGAATATGTTTTTGAAAGTGACGACAGCTTATTAAAAGGGGGGACGAGTGTGGTGCGAGCTACTTATAAGTAGTATATGACGTGAGTGTCAACGTAATGTCTGGCAGCAGCAGAAGATGGGGGCAGATCAAGAAAGGAAGAGAGTGAGAACACAATGGAAATTGTGTATGAATAGTGACAATGGATTGATGATGTTTTGCAACAGGAACAGTCCAGTTCGATATGATGAACTGATAATTTGCAAATGAACAATTTACGATATGGTTTTCCTATTTTACTGAGTAACTCTGTAATTTTCATTAAATACAATCCGATTGCCCCACCTGTGTTCTCGTCCACTACCCTATGATTATATCCCAAATGAAATGGATTTAAAAGAGAATGAAAGGAAAAAAAACGTGAATTTGAGAGAAGTCAAACAATGGAGATGATACATCTGCACGATTGCAAACAATTTTGAATCATGTCATTCAAAGTCTCTCACCTTCGATCGCTATGATCTTGTAGAGCACTGAAATTAAGCTCCATGCATATCAATGAATTTCTGTATGGTCTGAAATATTGAACGACTGCTTAAACTGAAGTGAGTTGTTCTGTTTGGGCGGGCTCATCCATCGAATCATTGACATTCGATTTTAATCCTCTCATTGTTATATATATATCAACATCTATGCCACTAGAATACAGTCAGTAGGACTTCCGTTGTAGTAGTAGTAGTGGCTATTTAAAAACAGAGTATTTGTAGACAGAGGGATTCTTCTCACTCTCAGTGGTATTCAGGCATTTGGTGGGTTAGAATTATGATATGTTAAATGGTATTCTGTTCGGTTTTCTGTATGAACCAATAAATTTCACAACAATACTTATGTTGACACTGCTGTTGATGATGATAAGTTAGTCTTCCTTTTCCATTTGTTAATTTTTTTTCCGGTTTAGGCTGAACATTCAGCTGTGTTACCGCCTCCATTCAATCACAATGTTAATTGTTCCACATCTTCATCGCCTCCTTCATCTGTACCATTTACTAAACTTAAACAAAATATTGTTACTAGTCGAGTGGAATTATTTTCATCTCAACCGACTACTACTACTACTGGTACTACTGGTACTAATGTTAGTAATCTTCAACGAAAATTTTCTTATACACAAGGTGATAAGAAAAATTTCACTGTTAAACATTCTACTGATTCTACAATTCCTTCATTAAATCATAATAATTTTAATTATAAGAAACAAGACAATAGTCAGCACTCATCAAAACATCATCACCCTCAACACTCTCATCATCATCATCAGCGTGATGTGAATCATAGTTCATTTCATCGGCATAGTGTGTTACGTAAATCGCTGGGTGGTATGAATATATTAACTCATCATACAATAACAAATAATACACTCAGTCAAGATTTCTCTGAACCAGATAATGAACAGACATCTAGTCGGATCGATAATACTACTACCACTACTAATAATAATAAATTTATTGATCGCCTGTCCCCATCATCACCGTCAGCATCATCATCAGTCGCCTCAATATCATCATCATCATCATCTTTAATTCTAAATAAGAATAATGGCAGTATTCAATCTGTACAAAAGTTGAATCCTACTGATAAACAATTGAAAACATTACATCTAGTCAATATACCATTATGGGATAATTTGAATTATGAATTGAAACCTTACTTCGCTATGATGAATAATTATAGTAGTAAAACAAAGTAAGCATTTGTGTGTGAAAAAATTTTTTTATTTCGTTCGTTTTGTTAATAAAGTTGATAATTAATAGTTAATTAGGTCGTGCACACCCGTGGATTGATCAAAGTTATCATATAAACACTGTCTAGAGGCTAGATGTTCTGGTATGTGAAATTGAGGGTTTTGAGTTTTAATTTTTCACAGCGAAGTGGTGGATGCACACTATTTGTGGAGTCCCCCATAATAGGACGAGAGGACTGTCCAGTGCTTTCAGGTTTTAGATGGTGGTCAGACAATGATTGATTGATGATTTTAGTAAAACTCAACATTATCCACAACCCAATGATAAAATTTAGAGGTTATGAAGATTTTTACACATTTGAAATCATCAGTCAATCATTGTTAGACCACCATTAGAAACCTGGAAGCACTGAATGACGGTCGTTTCGTCCTGGTATGGTACTACTCATCAGTGGCAGTGCGCACCCACGACTCCTGCTCCTCGCAGGATTCGAACCCGGGACCTTTGGCATTGTAGGCGAACGCCTTACCATCGGGCAACTGGGCCGGCATCAAACGGTGTTAACGTCTAACTCTGATTGATCTAGGGATTTTGCGCGACCTCACTCATTTGTCTTTGGTAGTTATTGCCTACATCCGACAGGGTTGAACTCCTCCACTGGTCACGTCTTCTCAACTAGAACTCCGAGAATTTCCTCACGAAGCTAGTCACTAGTGAGCACTGTTACGATATTTTGGGGCAGAGTTTTGGAGGTTTGCGTTTTGAAGACTGTTGGATTGTGTAATTTTGCAGGTTACATCCATAAGGAAGTCGGCGGGGGCATCATTAGGAGGTACATTCCCATGATAGCTGGTGGCCAACAATAAGTTTATACTTTATTCTTTCCATCAGTATCCTGGAGCCTCGGTGCACCATTAGTTTGGAATCAGAGTTTTCCACCCTCCTAGGTCGATCTTCCGTACTCATCAACCAGGTTTAACCCTCGGCCAAACATTTCCTTCTCTTGATTTTTTGAACAACCTCCCCAACGTGGTGAGCAGGTAGTAGCTATAAAACGCATCGCATTTTGAGAGGAATAGCAGATTCTTCCAACCGTCGATCAAACTGTCTCTTTGATTAGAAATCAACAGCGTGCTTTTCACGTGACCGCTGAGATACCAACTTAGACCGCTCCCCGTACTTCGATGTCGACAACTTAGTCGAGTAATTTTAGATAATCCACTGAACTTAAAACTAAATACATCAACCTGTATTGAGTAAGTAAAGGACTTTTTTATATTAGTTTTTATTAATTTCGTTGGTGTAGTTCAAAGTGCATACGACATAAGTATTCAGTATTGTCAGTATGAGGTTGTAAATGCGTTGAATTTCATTGAAATCACGAACCAATCAAAGTTAGACAACCATTGGTAACCTGGAAGAACTGAATTACCGTTTCGTCCTAGTATAGAACTTTTCAGTAATGCGTATCCACGACTATGCAATTGGGACTCGAACTCATGGGCCTTTGGTTTCATGCACAGAGGCTTTACCTCATTATTGACTAGCTGCAAAAGGAAATTTCTGTATTCTTGGTTAGGAGCAATAACCAGTGTAGCTAATCCATGTCAATGGAGGATGGTAACATGGTATCTCTTGGATTAGTTTAAGTTCGATTCTAATGCCTTTGGAACGGTGTGGGCAGCCGGGAAGTGACATCCGCCCTCATACCTGTACTAGCACACAATTAAAGTGGTATAGAAACCTGAACTGATGTAAGTACGTACAAAGTTCTACGTTGTAGCTGACTGACTGACTGAATACCTTTGGATACCAACTCAGTATTCTAACGATTAAGGATTCACGCAAAATATCGTAAGTCCTAGGGTCCATTTTCACTTTTCTAGTCATGAATATACACTACTAAAGATTCTCATACTTGAACAAATCAACTATCCAATGCCTCTAGGTTTTAAATAGTTGTTTAATTTCGATTGGTTTATGATTTAAATGTAATTATTTTGTCAGTAAAAGTTCAAGCTATTTCTGTAACTTATTTTAAAAATATTCACATACTTAATATTTGAACAAAATGAAAATGAATTCATCATTTGTCAACTGTTCAAATATATTCTATGATATGATCACGTTACAATTTGTAACAGTTGAAATTGCCGCCAGTCATTTCTAGCTATCCAATCAATTTCTGCTTTTTTACCTTGAATTTCATTGGTTATATCAAATAAACCAATCAGAATTCAGAGTACTTTAAAATTCATGTATATAAATTCCCTTGTGGTTTGTGCGGAATTTTTCTCTTCGTGATGACAATTTTTATTTCATTGTTTATTCACGTGAAACATTTTTTTTAAAATTTTTTAAGAAAACTTTCTCTTTCTTTATGTTTCTTGTTACTAATTAAATTCCTTTTTTGGAGAAAAAACAATCACCTTATGATTTTTTTTCTAAAAAACGAATTATTCTATACATTTGCTTCTATTTTTTAACCGATATTAGATTTGAAGGATTTCAATTAGTTGAAAAAATTTTACCATCTAAACATTGTTTACCTCGTGTACATACAAATTATGATGTACCATTTCAATTGGATGATATAATTGTCAGTGTAAATCATAAGAAATTATCAACAATGTCTGAAACTGAGTAAGTTATTCATTTTACACTGTTTGTTATTTTGCTCATATTAGTTATTAGTTAGATAGTGATGGTGTAGTCAGTTATGTTTTTTTTTAAAGTTTACCAGTGTTTAGTCACACTTGTTTCGTCGCTTATTAGACACCTGGAAGCACTGGATGGCCATTTCGTCCTTGTATGGGACTACTCATCAGTGGCAGTGCGCATCTATGACTCTTACAACTCGCAGGATTCGAACTCGAGTCGTGTGAGCGAATGCCCAACTTCTGGACCACACTGGGTCGGTGGTATCTAATGGTGATAATGTTTAACTCTGATTGATCTAGGAATTTTGCGCAACCTCATCCATTAGCCTTTGATAGTTATTGCCTACACTCGACAAGGTTGACCAGCAATGGTCATGTCTTCTCACTAGAACTCCGATAGTTTCAGTTCATTGTTTAGTCACACTTGTGTTGTCGATTATTATTTAAGTATTCACTTTCAGACTATTTGACTATGTACTAATTTGTAAATATGAAAGATATTGGTAAATAAGGAGGCCAAAATATAGTCATACACCACAAAAATCAATGAATTTATGGTTGGACGAGAATATTATCCGACAGGCCAAACTAAAACGGATTGCTTTTCTTAGACGACCACTCCCTGAGCGATTGACCCTAAAAGGTCTAATCCACAAGTCAGTGAAGCAATATCAGGACATTGTAGTCGTCCATAGTAGTTGGTGACCAACAATAGGTTCACACGCTATTGGTTTCGTCAGGATACTAGAGCCTATGTCAACCATTGGTTCGGAGTAATGGTTTTCCGACACCTCTAGGCGATTCCACCGTATCTTTGAGTCTAGTTTAAGCACGAACTGGACATTATAAATACATTTAATACGAGATAATTAAACTTAAAATAACACATCAATTTTCTGATGACTTAAATTGTTAGTTTTGTAGTACGATAGAGCCAATCAGAAGTTGTCGGACTAGGAAGTCACTTAATGTCAATTAGAAATGTTCTAAAGAATGAAATAGGTTCATGTACAAATATGAGGCAGTGGATAATGATCGCGCAGTCTCGTGCGTTTTTTGAAATTAGACATTCACACCGCTGGTGGCTGGCCCACTCCTTGAGAGATTGAACATTCGCTCACTAGAGTGAAGGGCCTGAATTCGATCTCCACTTATGGGGTCATAGCTACACACTGCTGATCAGTCCCATAATAAAACTAAAAACTGTGCTTCTAGTTTTTCATTGGTTGTCTATATATATATATATATATATATATATATATATAATTACTTATGCCCGTTCCCCTGATAGGAGCACTGGCCACCTTCCAGTATTCTCCAACCTACTCTGTCCTTGGCTTTCCTTTCTGATTCTGCCCAATTGCTTTTCATCCATTTTCTCATGTCTGCTTTCAATCCTCAATGTGATGTGTTCTCTCTCGATCTTTTTCTTTTCTTTTGGCCTTAAAGATTCCATGTTAGGACACTTGCCTTGTGTTTCAGTTAGGTGTTTTCTGCAATATATCTCCTATCTACACGTCTAAGCGCTGAATACGACTATTCAGTGAGTGTTGTCTGTGTCAACGAATAGACTAGTGATTTATTGATTCTATATCAGTATGGTTTATATATATATATATATATATATATATATATATATATATATATATATATATATATATATATATATATTAAATTCTTCCACAATCAGCCGTTAAGAGTAGAGGACTTTCGTAGGTTTTTAGTCTTCAATTATCGATGTCTCCGAAGCATTGCTCGTGTATCCTGGGACAACTGTGTAGGCAATTCTGTCGTTAGGAAACGAGTTCTAGGTAGGGATGGCAAATCAATAGATGAAGTAGTGAAACTTCATCAGTTGAGGTGGTTGGGACATGTGTTACGTATGGCTAACCACCGACTGATTGGACGAGCTATGCTTTGCAGTAGAATGTCTACTCCTGAAAATTCAGACGAGGATAAGGTTATTTCTAAGAGCATGTCTATGACAAAATTAAACAAGAATGGAGAGAGTGGACATCCCTGACGGACACCACTTAAAGTAAAGAATTCCGGTAACAGTTCGCCATAAGCTCTAACTCGACCAGTGGTGTTCGAGTAGAGAGCTTGTATAAGGTTAATGTACTTCTTTGGTACACCTCTCAATGACAGACACTGCCACAGAACCTCACAATCCACTGAGTCGAATGCCGCCTTAAGGTCCAGGAAAACTACCATTGTAAGACGCCTAAATGTGTGTCTGTGTTCCAGGACCTGTCGTAGTGTGATGTGGCCTATACAGCCAAGTCCAGGTCTGAAACTAGCCTAAGACGTCATTTTTGAGCACTTTTTGTGCAGGCACGGATAATAACGAGAGAAAAACACCTAAGACATACACTGTAACGAATACCAAACACGTTATTAATTTATGTAATCAGTTCATATGAAAATCACCTACGACTAACTAGACGCCCGTACTAGAGTATACTACAGTGTGTGTGTGTGTGTGTGTGTGTGGGTTGAGATAGTGCTCAGGTGCCTAGACGGAAATAGATGGTTTTCATAAAGGCCCGCATTTCCTAAGCCTCCTCTGAATTTAAGATCTAATCTATAAGACAAAGACGTGGTGCTAGAAACTGTGACCCAGTGACAGTTAATGACTAAAATAACGTTTATACACTGTTTGCACACTTGAAAGTCTTAGAATTCATAGACACTATCGGTTTGGAATCAAGGTTTTTCAAATCCGCAATCTGGTTCTTTTACATTTAATAATCTAATTTAAGCACCTAAAGTTGTTTCTTTATCCTCTGAGTTTTTTTAAAGAACTCCGTCACTGAGTCACTAATGGTTAGAGACCTTGAACAACAACGACATCCCTGAGAATCGTTTGCAACGGCGCAGGTGCATCCACTCTTTGTGTTCTCTCTAATTCTAAACTTCGAAATTCCTCATCATCTCTATCTTTCTCCGTCTAAATTTATTTCACTGAATTACACCTCTTGAATAATTTCTTTGTGCTATCACTCTTGGATTTGAACTGACAGTTGCGTGTCTGTGCTTATGTGGTGGTGGTGGTGGTACGGCAACCTGAACTGATGTACACAGACATACGAAGTTCTGCATTGTGTCTCTCTATCTGTCTGTCTGTCTGTTACACAATCACTGTATAAACCACATGTAATTTCGTATGTATCTTGTTTTTTATTTCTATATTAGAGCATTACAGTATGTGCATAATGCCCTTAAAACTGCCCAACATCATACTATTGATGTGGATATTTTAAGATCTACCCAACCTAAACAACAACCGTTGATTGCTCGTCAAAAATCAGATTCAACTCATTCTAATTCTGTCGAAGTGAATCCACATCAACCAAGACGACAATGGCAACGACGTCCAGGAGGAAGTGTCGGCGCAGAAGACAGTCATAATAATTATACTGCACTATGTGAAAGTATACAGGAACATCCAATTTACAATAAAAATAAAAAAGGTATGCCAATGGTGTTAGTTTCATGTTTCCTATTGATTTGTTAAACAGTTCACTTAATAATACATTGACCAAAATCAACCAGCATCACTTACACTGTATGTTACACATTTTTTTTTATGACAGTTAATTACTCTTTTTTTAAAAAAATCATGAATCGATCAATAAATGTTAGACCATAACACCATTAGAAACCTGGAAGCACTGAATGACGGCCGTTTCGTCCTGGCACATGGGACTACTCATCATCAGTGAGTGGCAGTGCGCATCCACGACTCCTGCACCCCAGCAGGATTCGAACCCAGGACCTTTGGGTTTGTGCGCGAACGCCCTAACCAATCGGACCACTGAGCCGGTAATTAATTACTCTCTCTATATGAGTTCATGTTAAATGAGAACAAAAGGGAACTGTGCTCAGACTAGTCAATTTTCAATGTCTTTCATATTTAATTTACTAATTTAACTATTGAAGGATGATAATATTTCGGTAGTTGATTGTCGGTTCAGTTCGTTCATGAATTTATCAAGCATAGATTTTTTTTGTACATTCAGTTTTTATTCAAGTTTTATTTGCTTGAATTTGTGTGTGTTTATATGAGCGTTAGTGATATTTGTTTCCTGGGCAACCAAGGTGAGATACAAAATTAAAAACAGGTTGATCAAAAGTCAAGTATTTTAATCACTATGAGGTTACTTCCTCCAGGGATGTCTACTTTCTCCATTCTTGTTTAATGTTGTCATAGACATGCTGCTAGATGTATAACCTTATACTCGTCTGAATTTTCAGGAGCAGACCTTCAACCAGGCGACTCGCTTATTGACTTAGAATTTGCTGATGACATAGTTCTACTTGGTGAAGACGCTGACAAAATGCAGTTTTCTGACTACCATAAGCAACAATGCAAGCATATTTGGGATGCGGTTCTCACCCTGGAAATGCGAAATGTTGCTTCAAGATTGAGTTGAATCGGCACTTGAACTACTGATAGGGAGTGAAGTAGTCGAACGTGTAGACCGCTTCACTTATCTTGGGAGTCTCATCATTGCTGATGGCCTGGTGACTGACGAAATCTCAGCTCGGATGCAGAAGGCTCGATTGGCTTTTGCCAACCTGCGTCACTTATGGCGCAGGCGAGATATCCGTTCGCTAACCAAAGGACGGGTGTACTGTGCAGCAGTTCGCTCCGTCCTCCTATATGGATGTGAAACATGGCCGTTAAGAGTAGAAGATGTTCGTAAGTTACTAGTATTCGATTATAGATGTCTTAAAAGCATTAATCGATTATCGTGGGACAACTGAGTAAGCAATGCTGTCGTTAGGAAACGAGTTCTAGGTAAGGATGTCAAATCAATAGATGAAGTAGTGAAACTTCATCAGTTGAGGTGGGGGTTGGGACATGTGTTACGTATGCCTACCCACCGACTGCCGCGACGAGCTATGTTTTGTGGTGTAGGAGTAGGTTGGAAGAAAGTAAGGGGCAGCCAAACCAAAACATGTCAGCAATCCATGAAGTCACTGACAAGTGGACTGAGTGATGTTGGTAGATGTAGGCTATCTGGTTGGGGTCCGCGAGACGAAATCCACCAATGGTTAGAGACCTTGAATGACATGGCTCGAAATCGAAGGTCCTGCGTTCGAATCCTGCGAGGTGCAGGTGTTGTGGATGCGCACTGTCACTGAGAATGATGATGTCCTGGACGAAATGGACATCCAATGCTTCCAGCTTTCTAATGGTGTTCTAACATTGGTCTGTTCATGATTTCAAATGTGTAACTTAACAATCTTCGCAACCACATAGTGCAATTACCTGTCCTTACTAGTGACTAGCTCCAAGAGGAATCTCCTCCGAGTTCTAGTGGGAAATGATGACCAGTGAAGTTCAACCTGTTCGGGTTGACGATGCGGATTCAAATCCCATATTATTTCCTTAATTCCATCATGATTCTGGAAGTTAGTTTAAGTCAAGCACTGTTCCCCTTGATTTCTTAACGTAATAAATAGTATTAGTAAAAATATCAAACATGACAGAATCTAATTCGTTTTGTATCGGAAATTTGAATAGTCCCGTTGATGTTAGTTAAGATCATTTCTTTTGATATGTGTATATATGTTTCTCAACAAACAGTGCTAGGTTCGAATCCTGCAATAAATCAAATTTCAGTGTGGGATGCAGGTACATTCAGTGAAAACATGCATCTCAATTAATCTTAAAATAATATAACAGTTTTTCTGCAGTAGACAGTGATTGTTGTATTCAGGTATTTCAATATACTATACTGCCTACTACTACTGTGTTCAAATTGTGTTCAAAGCGGATTACGTCATCCATTTAGTTAGTTAGTTCCCCATCATCATCGGTTAACATGTCTTGATCTTGTTAAATTTTTTTTTAATTGAACAAAGTAGTCTAACCATATGGTGGTTGTTTTAATGAATTAATTTTTCCAAAATTAATTAATCATTTTGTCAAATGAAACAATCATGCAGAGAACTTTTGTCTAATGTTTCATGGATTTTTCGTTTCGTTTCGTTCGGTTGTTCGTTCTACATATGTCAGTGTGTGTGTGTGTGTGCGCGCGCGCGCTTCTTCAATCTTCAATCATTAGACCATTGACTTTCATTGTTGGTATTGACGAAAATGATGTATTTTTGTCTTTTTATAGTGTGTCATTTAAGATGTGTAAATTTTTTGATGAAATGACATATATAAATTCGTATTTTTATTATTATTAATATTTTTTTTTGAGAAAAAAAGTAGACAAACTGCGTTGTTCAATGTGTCACAATGTGTTCAATGATCAATTGTTTTAATTGTCATATGTGTGTCTGTTTCAATCTATGTGAAACATGAATCCATCCATCTAACAGCAGCTGTTAGTTAAATGAAAAAGTAACGAATGACATGTCAATCATGATGTTTGAATGTACCATTTAAAAATGCCTAGTGTCTTAGTCACACATACACACATACGGGCATAGACACATTGAAACAAGTCACATGATGAATGATTTTTTTTGCCTAATCGTACGTATAGTTGGATTGTAACGATGTGGTTGTTGGCTTGTTTGTCTGTCTGTCTGTCTGTTTTTATTTTAACACACAGCTGGTAAAAAAAATGTTCATTTCATTGTGGATGACGACACTTTTTAAGCATCTCTCTCTCAAAAAAATAACACTGAATTTAAAGCTTCCTTTTTTTTCGATTCTGGTTTTATTGAAACCATGAATCTATGAATCGATGTTAGACCAATACATTAGAAGAAACCTGGAAGCATTGAAAGACGGCCGTTTCGTCCTGGTATAGGACTCCTCCCTTCAATAAAACTTAACAATCTTCACAACCCCGTAATACAAATTACTTGTGATCACTAGTGACGACGACTAGCTTGGTGAGGAATCTTCTCCGAGTTCTAGAGAGAAGTCGTGACCATTGAAGTTCAACCTGTTCGGGTGTAGACAGTAACTACTACCGATGACAGCGAATGTGGTTGCGCAACTCCGTGAATTGATCGAAGTTAGACATTAACACCGTTAGACACCGGCTCAGTGGTCTGATGGTTAGGTGTCCGCCTACAATACCGAAGTTTCTGGATTCGAATCCTGTGGGGTGCAGGAGTCGTGGATGAGTCCCATACTAGGACGAAACGGCCGTCCAGTACTTCCAGGTTTCTAATGGTGGTCTAACATTGATCGATACATGGTTTCAATAAAATTTAACAATGTTCACAACCGCGTAACACAGATCCTGGTATTAACTGAATTTTCCTGTTTGTTTTACTATCGACCACCGTTTCGAATTTTCGGAATTATACTTGTGGTTGGTTCGTTTCCAAAAGCTATGGTACAGCCAAATACTCTCAAATATATACACCACTTCTACAGAAGTCCTGTTTACTACCTCCTTCTCAACGCAGAAATGCTGTTTATGAACTTGAAAGAATGAAAAGCGAATGTCTCATCGGGGCTTATAACCCGGTTTGGTGAGTATCATGACTTCACCATGGAGGGAAGTTTGAAAACTCTACTTCTAAATAGATATGGAGTATACAAGCCCCTGGCTACCGTGAAACTGCATCTTTTTACGTCTTATGGATTAGATCTCTGCGTCCAGAGTTTGGGAGTTGGCCATTGGAAAAAACCACCTACTTTGGTTTTGATACTGGAATGGTATCACATCCTGCACACACTAATGATTAAATTTGTGTGGTACACAAGTATTACAGGTCCCCCCCATTGTACACAAACAATAAATACTAATGGTGTTGGGGACGTTAGATCCCCAGAACTCGCTTGACAGATGCCTTGATTTTGGATTTTATGTATCTGAGCATGGGCTGATCAGTTGACCTTGAGATCGCATTTCTCACCAGGAAAATCCTTGGCTGTGATTGGTTACTGTGTTATTTTAGTGTGTTGTTTTTGTGACTCTCCCAAGGAAGTTTCCATAATGTATAAATAAACGCGATTTGTGTGCTTGGTTTCATTGTGTGTGCTTGCTGGGGTGTTTGTAGAATATACTTTCTACGCTATAACAAGTCTTCTACGTTAGTCAACGCATCAGCGTAGCATACCTGAACGCTTGTTCATTATCTCGTTCTCGGTTATCGACTAAGGAGAACCCGTAATCGTTTGAAGTATACCTAGTGACAAGCATAACAAATGACAATCTGCTGTTCAAAAATGTCAACTTTTACGTAATCAAATTATACTTTAGTCGATTCATGTTTTTTCCAACTTCTCTTCCACGATGTGCGCAGCCGGGAAGTGACAACCACCGTCATACCCGAAACAGCACACGAGACCAAATTGGCCGAAATCAAATCCTTCGTACACCCACACACACCTCTCTTCTCTCCACATCGAAGTCTACTCACAGTCCCCTTTCTCACTGCACCGCTAATGCAGACGAAGCGAGTTCACGAAACTTTATTCCTGGTCTCATGAAACCCAGTTATAGACTACATGTTAGAGCTTTTAATGTACGGACATTGTGTCAAATAGGGCAACAGGCTTCCTTAGCTAGGACTTTAGAATCTCGTGCCATCGATGTATGCTGCGTCTCGGAAACGCGCACACAGGATCCTAGTAAAATTATTAATCTGATTTCACCTTGTCAAAATAAAGAAACAGCTCGATTTACTCTTCGTGTATCCGGTAGCCCTGATGCTGCTTCCAGAGGTCTTGCTGGCGTAGGCATAGCACTGAGTCGTAGAGCTGAACAATCTCTCCTAGACTGGATCCCAGTAGATAGTCGCTTGTGCGCCGTCCGACTGAACGGGACAGTAAGGACTCGGAAAGATAGGGACACTCGCCGTTGCCTCTTCGTCATATCAGCCTACGCCCCCACTGACTGCAGCCCAGATGATGTAAAAGATGAGTTTTACAGAAAGCTTTCAGACCTCCAAAACGCTAGGCGCTCCGATGTAGTAATAATGGCTGGTGACTTTAATGCTCAAGTAGGTAGACTGAGTGAAAATGAAAGACACCTGGGTGGATGTTATGGTGTCGCGGCTCAGAGAACAGACATTGGAGACCGTCTGTTGCAAGTATGCTCAGATAACCGCCTATTTCTCAACGTTGGACCCAAGTAGATCACATTGCCATCAGCCACCGATGGAGGGGTTCGATAGAGGACTGCCTCTCGTTCTGGGGTTCATGTTTAGATTCAGATCATGCTCTTGTGCGAGCGTGTATCTGTTTGAATCTTACTGGACGTAGGAAAGACACTGTAAGGAAGCCTCTTAGGGTTTTACTTAATGATAATAAAGCTAGGAATATATTTCAGGAGTAACCACAAAGAGAGTTAAGCAACCGTGTAAGCGATTCCCGTCCAGAAGCAGGTGGGTATGATATCCAAAAGGCTATGGCAACAGCGTTGCAACAACGTTGCATCTGACTGACTGACTTTTCCATCTTCTATGTTTAACGTAACGTAACAAAATGTGACAGATATTTATTTTCAATAAAAACATACTTTGTTCAATTAGTAGAACTGTAATCACCGAAGAACTTTTCTTGACATTTATAATAAAAATTCTGATTTCGGTGTTAGTTGATATTTGTTCGGATTTCCAGATGTGGTTCAATTTTATAAATGCAACCCTTGCTTTGTCGATCCACCCTCTTACATCTACATCGGAATTTAGATAATTAGAATTTGAAAGAAGCTAAATTATGGATACACTCATGCGCTATATCATTCAAAATCTGTAACGATCGGTCACTATTGTCTGGTGGACACTAACCAGGTCGGTCGGTCAGTTGCAACGTAGAACTTCGTACGTATGTACATAAGTTCATGTTGCCATACCATCACATTAGCACAGAGACGCAAATGTCAAATCAAATCCCATAGTGATAAAGATAGTAGATGTATTAATGTTAATAAAGAAGACTAGGGTTCGAAGATATTATTCAAGAAGTATAATTCAGTGAGATAAATTTAGGAGGAGAAAGGTAGAGGTGTTGACGATTCCAGAAGATTAGGATTTGATAGAGCTCAAAGAGTGGATGCACCTGCGCCATTGCAAACGATTTTGAGCCATGTCGTTCAAGGTCTCTAACCATTGGTGACTTTCATCTCGCGGACCCCAACCAGGTAGTCTACATCTACCAACATGACTCAGTTCACTTGTCAGTGACTTCATAGATTTCTGCCATGTTTTGGTCTGGCCGCCCCTAATTTTCTTCCAATCTACTCTACTACACCACAAAACATAGCTCGTCGTGGCAGTCGGTGGTTAGGCATACGTAACACATGTCCCGTATGCCTAACCAGGTAGTCTATACTTACTAATATATGGCTCAGTCAAAAATGTCTGTAACGTTATGACATGTTTTGGTCTGGTGTTAATTAATTTCTAACCCCGGTCAATCGACGATCTTGAACAACAACCGTCTATTGCTTTCAGGTTTCTAACAGTGGTCTAACATTGACCGACTCATGATTTCAAAAAACGAATCTATAATTGTCTTTTTTTTATACATACGCCCCACTTGTTTATTGACTCATTATTGATTCTTCCTGTTTCCTGTTTTCCTTCTCTGTTTTTTTAGAACAACAAAAAGAAGACACTATTCTATCAATACGTAATACCAAACCAATCAATTCAAATCATCATCTAAGCCTTATAGATTGTCCAGATTCACCTCATGTAGGCCTCAATAATAAATCACATCAACTCACAGCTCATGATGATGATGACGATGACGATGACAATGAGAAAATCAATGCCAAAAAATTGACATCATCTTTATTGAATAGTAGTAATCTAACTGAAAGTGGATTTGTTACAATACGTGGACCAAAACCAGCACGTTTAACCATTATCAATAATAATCGAAGTAATCATAGTGATGTTACTAATGTGATTACTACTCCCACTACTACTCCCACTACTACTCCCTCTACTCCCACTAATACTACTACTAATACTAATACGAGTAGTAATCTATTCGATGTGTTTGGCCCCGATTCACATTCATCTCTTGACAATAATAATAGTAACAATAAAACAAGCAGTTCACCTAAACCTTCACCAGTCAAAGTTGAAAACATTGATAATAATAATAATAATCATCATCATCAATCTGATTCGCGTACACTTACTCCACTTACTGCTGGATTAACTTCACCTTCTATGCCAAAAAGATCATTAAATTTGGTAAGTTGTTAAATGTTATTTTACTGTATCAGCTCAATTTATTTTTATGTGATATTATCACTGTTGAATATACGACCACAAACAAATCTATACGCCTAAAACTATGTGACTAGTGTGGGTTTATAGTCTACAACATATATTGGGTTGTTTTTAGTTGTATGCTTCAGCATATCAGTCAGTCAGATGCAACGTAGTACGTCGTACATGAGAGTACATCAGTTCTTGTTGCCATACCACATCAGCACACAGATGTAATTTTCAATTCAAATTCAATAGTAGAAGAGGTAGTAAAGGTATTAGAAGTAATCGGAGACGTTACAATTAGAAAATATTATTCAAGAAATATGATTTAGTGAGAAAAGTTTAGAAAGTCAAAACTAGAGGTGTTGAAGAATCCAGAAGATTAGGATTTGAGAGAATACAAAGAATAAATGCACTGGCGCTATTGCGAACGATTTTGAGCCATGTCATTCAGGGTCTCTAACCATCGATTATTATCATCTCACGGACCCCAACCAGGTAGTCGACAGTTACCGACATGGCTCAGTCCACTCGTCAATGACTCCATGGATTTGTGCCATGTTTTGGTTTGGTCGCCCCTAACTTTCTTCCAACCTATTCCTACACCACAAAACATATCTCGACGAGGCAGTCAGTGGTTAGGCATACGCAGCACATGTCACAACTACCTCAACTGATGAAGTGTCACTACTGCGTCTATTGATCTGCCATTCTTACCTAGCACCCAATTCCTAATAACAACGTTGCTCACTCGGGTGTCCCACGGTATACGACCAATGCTCGAATACTAGTAACCTACGAATATCTTCTACTCTCACTGGCCATGTTTCACAGCCATAAAGTAAGACGGAGCGAACTGCTGCGCAGTACACTCGTCCTTTAGTCAGCAAACGGATATCTCGCCTACGCCACAAGTGTCGCAGGTTGGCAAAAGCCAATCGAGCCTTCTGTATCCGTGCTGAGATTTCGTCAGTCACCAGGCCATCAGCACTGATGAGACTCACAATATAAGTGAAGCGGTCTACATGTTCGACTACTTCACTCCCTATCAGTAGTTCAGGTGCCGATGCAAACCAATCTTGAAGCAACATTTTGCATTTCGAGGGTGAGAACCGCATCCCGAACATGCTTGTATTATTGCTTAGAGTAGTCAGAAGACTCTGCATCTTGTCAGCGTCATCACCGAATATATATGTGGGTCTAAAGTTTTGACTAATTCAGTTACTCGATAGGTTTAGACTATCATCACCAGGTTAGGGTCTGTGAGACATTAGTAACCGATGTTTAGCGACTTTCAATGATATGGTTCAAAAACGTTTGTAAATGGCGTAGGTGAATTCATTCTTTGTGTTGTCTCACATTCTAATCTTCTGAATTCCTCAACCCCTCTATCTTTCTCTTTTAAAATCGATTTCTGTTGGGAATGTTAGATCCCCAGAAATCGCTTGATAAATATCTTTATTTTGCATTTATATCATGGTCCGGTCAGTTGACCTTGAGATCACATTTCCCACCAGGAAAATCCTTGGCTGTGATTGGTTACTGTATCATTTTAGTGTGCTATTTTTTGTGACTGTCCCAAGGACGTCTCTATAGAGTATAAATAAACGTAATTTGAGTGCTTGGATTCATTGTGTGTGTGCTGGTTGGGTGTTTGTAGGATACAATTCCTACGCTATATCAAGACTTCTTGCTGATTCGATTTGGTCAAGGGATCACAATAGCCTACCTAAACGCTGGTTCATTGTTTTGTTCTCGTTATTCGACTAAGGTGAACTCGTAATCGTTTGAAGTATACCTAGAGACGAGCGTAACAATTTCACTGAATTATACTTCTTGAATGATATCTTCGAATTCTAATCTGTCCGATTACTACTGATTCTTCTACTTTGGGATTTGAATTGACAATCGCGTGTCTCTGCGCAAATATGGTATGGCAGGTTGAACTGATGTATGTATGTACATACGAAATTCTACGTTGTAGCTGACCGACCGACTGACTATGTGACTTAATTACAAAACATATTTTGACGTAAAATTCGCCTTATAAAGTCATGTAAAATTGGTAACTAGACTTTTCAGTTTCTTTTTGGTGCCAGTGTGTGAACCACGCCTAACTAGTGCTCGTGAAGAGCAGACTAGAGAAAACCAGGCTGGTTTTCGACCTGGACGTGGTTGTATAGACCACATCTTCATACTCAGACAGGTCCTGGAACACAGACACTCATTTAGGCGTCCTACAATGGTTGTTTTCCTGGACCTTAAAGCGGCATTTGACTCTGTGGATCATGAGGTTCTCTGGCAGTGTCTGTCATTGAAAGGTGTACCAAATAAGTACATTTACCTCATACAAGCTCTCTACTCGAACATCACTGGTCGAGTGAGAGCTTATGGCGAACTGTTACCGGAATTCTTTACTTCAAGTGGTGTCCGTCAGGGCTATCCACTCTCTCCATTCTTGTTTAATTTTATCATAGACATGCTCTTAGAAATAACCTTATCCTCGTCTGAATTTTCTGGAGTAGACCTTTTACCAGGTGGCTCGCTTATTGACTTAGAATATGCCGATGACATAGTCCTGAGTCATGTTGGTAGTTGTCGACTACCTGGTTGGGGTCCGCGTGATGATAATAATCGATGGTTAGATACCCTGAATGACATGGCTCAAAATCGTTCGCAATGGCGCCGGTGCATTTATTCTTTGTGTTCTCTCAAATCCTAATCTTCTGGATTCTTCAACCCCTCTAGTTTTGACTTTCTAACCTTATTTCAATTAATTATATTTCTTGAATAATATCTTCTAATCCTAACCTCTCCGATTACTTCTAATACCTTAACTACCTCTACTGCAATTATGGGATTTGAATTGACAGTTACATCTCTGTGCTAATTTGGTGTTACGGTAACATGAACTGATGTACTTACGTACGAAGTTCTACGTTGCATCTGACTGACTCAAGCGGCAATCATACCTAGAGTTTTCGGTCTTGAATGCGTTTTCGCAACCTCTTGACCATTAAAAGTCGGAATTCAATGGTTTCATTCATTTCTTAGTTTAATCAGTCCATTTTATTGTAAACTGAAATGTCTCATATTTGATTAGCGCCAATACCAAGGTGTGTGTGTGTGTCTGATGTGTGCATAACTTCTCCGATATAACATGAAATTTGTTCTTCTCACCTATCAGATATTACACATTTACCGTGTAAATTGATCTTTACTTTAATTTTTTAATGATAAACACCCGCATTGTATGTAGTACGTTATGATTTTGTTCATTATCAGTGTTATGGTGACATTGTACATGTGTTTACATGGTACTTGTGTGTGTGTGTGTGCGTGCATGTATGTGTGTAGACTTTTACAGTTGTCCAAAATGAAATCTACACAAAGTGTATCGTTGAGTACATAATTAGTACTAATGATTACTATTTCTGTTACCCTCGATGAAGCATAGACCATCAATCATGATTCTCCAATCAAATTTTGTCCTGCACTATTCCACCCCACTGGGGTGGTGGATGCTACTCATATAGTGATATATAAGTAGTATGTACCGCCATAGCATTGCCTAGAATGAAAGGAGATTTAAATATTGAAATCATCATCAATCATTCATTGTTAGACCGCCATTAGAATCCTAGAAGACTGTGTATGAGGTTGTGCAAATCCGTGAATTAATCAAATTAGACATGAACACCGTTAGTGGTCCGGCTCAGTGGTCCAGAGGTTAGGCGTTCGCGCATATTACCTAAGGTCCTGGGTTCGAATCATGCGGGGTGCGGGAGTCGTGGATGCGCACTCCCACTGATGATTAGTTCCATCCTAGGACAGAACGGCCGTCTCTCAGTGCTTCCAGGTTTCTTCTAATTTATTAGTCTAACAATGACTGATTCATGGTTTCAACTGTTTCAAAACTTAACAATGTTCACAACCCCGTAATGTAAGATTTTTGATTTATTAAACACTAGGTAATTTTAAATGTTTGCAGTTCGTTAAAACAACCAATTTTTTTTTCTATGTTAACTCAATTCAATTGATTTTATAGTTTCTTGGTTTTAAACGATGAGAAGATGTAGTTGATGTGTGTTGCATGCTGTACCATATTTCGACCAGCTTGGTCACGCACATGCACACACACGCATACACACACACACAAGCGTGTACACTTGATAATATGCAAATTCATAAAAAGGTCATTTAAGCAAAAAGTTCACATAAACATAACGTGTTGTTAATCAACGAAAAAGAATATTAACCCAGTATAGAGAAGAAAAACAATAGGAAACTGTCACATTACTTTTGGGTTATTTAAATGAAATGGCTTAAGGATTACTAAAGTAAATTCAAGGTTATCACAAATTACTTTTGTACCCATAATGGGAGAGTTTGATTTTATGAATAGCTAAAGCTTGTATAAATCTAAAAATTTGTCCTTCATCGTTTTAAGAGCTGTCTCGACGTCAATCCTACACCCCGTTTGGATTATATGTCTCGCCATTGGTGAAAATGATTTTCTATTTCCCATATTCATCGGGGTTATTTGACATTAACTGATTTTGAAGCCATTTAAGCATTCAGTCAGTCAGTCAATCAGTCAGATGCAACGTACAACTTCGTACATAAGTACATCAGTTCATGTTACCATACCACATTAGCACGGAGATATTATTGTCGATTCAAATCCGATAGTAGAAGAGGTAGTAAAGGTATTAGAAGTAATCGGAGAAGTTAGGATGAGAAGATATTATTCAAGAAGTATGATTCAGTGAGATAAGTTTAGAAAGACAAAACTAGAGGGGTTGACGAATTCAGAAGATTAGCCATTTATAAGCATTCGGATCCATAACTCTTGATTGCATTATCCGATTACTCCTACTGATGTATGTGTATCCAAACAGACATGTAGATTGATAGTTACAATCGGATGTGATGTAATCGCTTGATCAATTTCTAGGCATATGTGCACAAAACTATAG